GAGATGGCCCAGGGGTAAAGTGCTTGCTGGGAAAGCATGCAGATCCCCAGAACCCACATATAATGCACACAGAAAATCAAACTAAGGTGAATGGCTCCTGTGGAAACACCTGAGATTAACCTCTGCCCTTCACATACATGCACCCCCTACCACGCACATGTGTGTGTGTGTGTGTGTGTGTGTGTGTGTGTGTGTGTGTGTGTCACGCGCTCGGGTGTGCACACATACACACACACACACACACACACACACACACACACACAAGCATACAGATGCAAAAGGATTCTCACCAGGATATTTACAATTTAATCTTCACAACCACAATTATACCCATTTTATAGGTAAGGAAATGGACATACAAAATAGTGTAAGTTCATACAACTGGGAAGGGTGGGCTTGAGGTCATAAAGCTGGGCTGGTCCTGTTAAGGACTCATTCACACACTTCACCACCAAGAAGAAGGGATGGGTACAGATCTAGCTCAATTTTATTCCTCCTTTTCCTCTGAGTCATGCCTGCAGTCACCTTGGATCCCAGGAAAGACAGGGCTGAAGATAGAAACCTGTAGAGAAAGGACTCCACCACCCTCCTGTGTCTGTGATCGTGAGCTTGCTCCAGAACTGGAGCAGTCCTCTTAGAGAACCAGAGTGCTCTGGTGAGCACTTCCTCCGGGTCAGAAAAGACAGTTGTGAGGGCAGGGGACAATTCACATCTGTGTCTGAGACCAGGCCTGGCCACCAGCCTCAGGACTTTAGTGTCACAGCTTATTTGTTGATTCACTCAACAAACACCAGGTGGAGACAGAGGCTAGTCCACACTGCAGCTTCCTGACAAGGTCTTCCCATGGCCCTCTCACTTCCTAGGGAACAGAAATGACTTCCAAACAGGACCCAGTAAAGCCCCCTATACCGAGTGCTGAAATGGTACACATGAGGGTGAACAAAGATTTGTTAATGAAGTATGAGGGCAAAGGTGAGGCTGCAAACCTCACCTGAAAATAGGTTAAGGCTTTGACCAGGGAAAACGCTCAACGGGGGAGGGCATAGGCACCTGGGAGGGGTGGTAGGATGGTAGATACTGGTAGATGTGGTTCTGGTACTGAGAAAGGAACGAGAGAGAAAAGGTTGAGTCATGGAATGAGCCAGGCAGAGCGGGCTTGGAGGAGAGTTCAGAACCGGGTTCTGGTCCCTGGGCAACAGGAAGTCACTGGATAAAGCCATGAAGATTGAAGTTTTAGTATTTAAGGGCCAGTGAGATGTCTCAGTGGGCAAAGACACTTGCCTTCAAGTCTGATGACTTTCGTTTAATCCCAGAACCCACAAGATAGAAGAGAGCTGACTCCCGGAAGGTGTCCTCTGACTTCCACTCCATGTACATGCTTGCCCTCACACAGACATACACTTAAACTGTGTCTCGGGTTCTTGGTTAGGAAGCTATTGAAAGGGCTTCGGCAAGAGGCAGTGAATCAGAATGAACTGTGACAGCAGGGAAGGCCTGCGTCTCAAGGTCACGGGACAGTGCTTGGCCACCACGATGCTCACACGGGTTCAGCGTTCTCACTCCAGTAGAACCTCTCGGCCTTTGCCTACTGGCTCCCAGCTGCTTCTGCCACACTCTGGACTGGCACTTTGTTTCCCTGGTTCCCCAGCCTGGGCTTCACTCCCTTTCCTTGTTTACCCTCTCTTGACTTATTTCATGCAGGTCACTCACTGGTCCTCACCAACCTAATGGCTGAGCCCAGAGGCGAGCATCAGATGTCACATGTGTGAGGCAGCAAGGCACCAGAACCTTGAGGATAGGATGCTCTGAAGAGGCAAACAAAAAAGATAGGCCCGGGATGCTGTGGAGGTAACTCCAGGGGATGTAACCACTGGATAGTGGAGGGCCATGAAGTGAGTGGATACACTCCATCCTCAGTTTAGGATGATGATGAAGGAGGAAGAGAAGAAACATCAGAATAGCTGCTCAAAGGGAAAACTGTGAGTCTGACACACCAAACACGGGGATGGAGAGTTCGGGGGTTCCAAAAGTGGAACCTAGTCTCGGGAGGCAGAGGCAGGCGGATCTCTGAGTTCGAGGTCAGCCTGGTCTATAGGGTGAGTTCCAGGACAGCCAGGGCTACACAGAGAAACCCTATCTTGAAAAGCAACAGAAAGTGCAGAGGCAGAGTTGAGGGACTGTTGTGGAATATTCCTTTACACTGTGTGAAGATGTGTCACTGTGATTGGTTTAATAAAAAGCTGAATGGCCAATAGCTAGGCAGGAAGAGGATAGCTGGGACTTCTGGGGACAGAGAGATCCCGGAAGAAGAAAGGTGGAGTCGCCAGCCTGACGCAGAGAAAGCAGGACATGTAGGAGGAGAGGTAAAAGCCACGAGCCGAGTGGCAACACATAAATTAATAGAAATGGGTTAATTCAAGTTATAAGAGCTAGTTAGAAACAAGCCTGAGCTAAGGCCAAGCTTTCATAATTAATAATAAGTCTCTGTGTCATAATTTTGGGGCTGGTGGTTCAAGAAAGCCTGCTATAAGGGACCCCTCACTAGCCTGTTTCTGGGTACCCGGCCCTTTGTGATGGTCTTTAATTCTACCCATCCTTTGGGAAGGCACTATTTTTAATTTACCAACAAGGAAACTGAGCACAATGAGATTAAGTATCTAGTCTAGGTGACATGGCGGTCAGGTGGCAAGGATGGGACTTTATGAAGGTGACTCTGAGGTTGCCTCTAAACTGTGTGCTAGGGAGGCCATGGAGATGTCCATGAGCATTTGTGTGTGTGTGTGTGTGTGTGTGTGTGTGTGTGTGTGTGTGTGTGTGTGTAGACCAGAGATTGGTAGACTAGTGTATTTTCCTTTTTTCTTTCTTTCTTTCTTTCTTTCTTTTTCTTTCTTTCTTTCTTTCTTTCTTTCTTTCTTTCTTTCTTTCTTTCTTTCTTTCTTTCTTTCTTTCTTTCTTTCTTTCTTTTTAAATACTAGATCTCTGAATGAACCTGGAACTCACAAACTGGCTAAACTGGCTGGTTACTGAGCTCAAAGGATCTGCTTGTCTCTCCCACCACCACAACCACCCTCCCGCCAGCCCTTACCTCCCCCTCACACACACATACTCAACATGAGGATTGCAGACCAGCTTTTGTGTGGATCCTGGGGAATCTGAAATCAGGTCTTCCTTCTGGTGAGGCAAACAATTTACCCACTGAGCCACCTCTCTAGACCCCATCCTTGAAGTTTTTGAGGTTTTAAATTGTTCTTAATTTGGGTCTGGGGCCTGGTGTGGTGCACACACCTGCAAGGTCAGCACTTGGGAGACTGAGGCCGGAGGATCCTAAGTTTCAGGTCAGCCTGGGCTACATAGTGCATTTCAGGCCATTTTGAGCTGTGAATTTGGACCCTGGAGATGTGGCCCTGCGTAGCAGTGGCACCAGAGAGATGGCTCGGAGGGTAAGTGCACACAGTTCTTGCAGAGGATCCAAGTTCTGTTCCCAGCACACCCATCAGGTGGCTCACAACTACCTGTAACTGTAGGGGGATTCAATGCCTATGTCCTCTATGCCTATGAGCACCCCCAAACATGTACACACCTCCTGCCATGTATACACAGAATTTAAAATAACATAAATAAACATTAAAAGATAGCATGTCTTAAAAATAAATGAATAAAAGGCCTGAAAGACAGCTCAGGAGGGACCTGAGCTCCATCCCCAGAGATGTGCAAAGGTGGCCTCTGAAAAGGTGCCCTCTGACCTCCATGCTGTGACACGTGACACCCCCCACCATGCACTCATTCACAATAATGACAAGTTAAAAAATAAGTTTAGAAACCTGGATCTGGTGAAAATTATCATTAAGAACCCCCTTTCTCAGAAAAAAAAAAAAGAGAATATGTGGTTATTTTCTCTGAACTTCATATTCATGTTGGGCATTCATGGACTCCCTGGAAACCCATCCACGGTTCCTCAGTAAAGAACTCATCCCTAAAGGACCAGCCTGGACATCTGCAAAGGTGATTGATTGAGTTTCCCTGCAGCCCTGTAACATCTTCCAGACAGAAACCAGGATCCTACCTACAAGGTAAATAACTTCCCAGAGTTCCCACAGCTGTGAATACGCCTGGGACTCAACTCCATGTCAGTTTACTTTGACTGGAAGGGAAAGGGAAAGGCAGACCAGACGGGTGGGTGTTGACCCAGCGCTTGGGAGGCGGAGTCAGGCAAGTTTGAGGCCAGCCTGATCTGCACAAGGTGCTCCAGCTGTGCTAGGCAGCGCTACAAATCCAGAGCAGGCCCCACAGTCAAGATCGGAGTTACAAACCAGGATTGGGGACAGAGGATGGGGAAGGAGACCCCAGGGAGGGAAAGGAAACACAAAGATTCAAGTATGAGCCGTCTAACCGCCAGGGTGGGACACGGGGGTGGAGGGGGGGCGGGAGCTTAAACACGAGAGCAAATGCCGGACCACCGAGCTGCATTCCAGCCATTGTCATGTTTACAGACGCGAGAAAAATAGGCTGTGAAAACGTAGAGGCCTGGCATTGTCCTGCAGCCTGTCCTTACTGCACTCTGGACTCAAACAGGTACTGGACTCCCAAGCCTGACTCCGAACGGCCTGAGCACAGGCTCGGACTTCATCCCCTGCCCCCACCCTGCAGGGATGAGACAGGACTTTGCCTCTGCTTCTCTTGGCTGCTAACGGGGCAGAGTCCAGGACTGCTCCCCTTTCCAGGTTCCCACTACCAGTCCATTTGCCCCCAGCACCTCGGCCTCCTCCATTCCATCCTCCAGCTTCTGCCCTTAGGACTCAACACAGAAGGAAGAGTAAGCAAGAGGACTTTGAGGGTTCAGCCCAGTCAGAGAGAAGTGGGGTTGGGAAGAAGGTCTAGGAGAGAGGAGAGGGAAAAGGGGGTCTTTAGAGAACGGAGAGGGATGGAGATGGCGGGAATCGGGAGAGGGACAGGCAGTAGGGGACATGGGCGACAGGGACACAAAGCGAGACGTATGTCACCTTCAGGGTCCATGGTGACTTGGAGCAGCCGGTCAGTGTGTCCACCACTGTCCAGATCGATGATACCAGAGGCTGAAGCTGGGGGTGGGGCTGCCAGAGAGAGTGGGGAGGGGCCGAGCTGGGCTGGTCTTCCGGAGAGGCCTCGCGGTCCTCCTCCCGGACCCTCGCTGAGCCAGCCCCATTGTGAACTCCAGAGTCAGGGAGACCTGCTCAGTTGTGAGATTTAGAAATTCTGCCCTTTCAGGCACCAAAGAGGCCCTGTTTTCTCCCACTTCCAGCCCTCCTGGAGTTCCCTCGGAGTGCATGGCTATGAATGCCGGACCCCACTCTCCTGGGAGGGCCAGAAAGCCTTGTTAGTGGTGCATTGGGGAAATCATGGGTCTTAGACCTGCAGTCAAGTCCCAATTCCGTTTTCCCCATCCCAAGCCCTGAGAGAGGGTCTCACTGTGTAAATCCACCTGCCTGGGCTCCCTCCCACCCCACCCCACCCCCGCCTCTATGCTAGGATTAAAGCATGCACCACCATATCCAGGCCATTCTCTTTTTATTTCAAATACCTTTTCTTGTGTCTCCGTTTTTTTTAGCTGTAAAATGAAACACTAGCCAAGGAAGAAAGTATGTGAAGGACAGAGAAGGAACCCCACAAATGTCCCCTGATTCTCCTTTCCTCTTCCTGAGAGCCACAGTTTGAATGAGTTTCTTCAAAGTCGGTGTGTTGAAAACGTATCCCCCAAATTTATACAGTATTTGGAGGTGGGGTCTTTGGGAGATACTTAGAGTCAGATGAGGTCGTAAGGGTGGCCGTGGAGACTTTGCATCAGTGGCTTTAAAAGACAGCAATACCGAATGTTCTCGCTCATACACGGCTCCTAGCTCTAAATCTTCTGCTGTAATGTTTCACCTAGAGTGTGTGTGGGAACCAGAAAACGAGAGATGGACCCCAGGGTGGATACCTAGGGGCTGGGCCAGTAAATACAGGTAAAATTAAAGGAGAGACAGGGGCCCTGGAGGGGAAAGGTTCAAGCTAGCTGGGGATGAGGTCTTGGTGGAAGGTTTAACTGAAATGAAGGGTATATGAAAAAGCTATAGGGAAACCTACGACCTCCCAACTCAGGAAAAAACTATTAGTGGAGAAAGTAGGACACTGAGGACATGGAATGAGAGGAAATGAGCTCTGGGTTAAGTGGAGATAAAGGATTCGGGACAGGAGAGGGTAGGGAAGGAGGGAGGGTAACCAAAATTAAGAATATATAAAGAAGCCTTATGGAAATCCACTGGTTTAAAAGCTATTTTTAAATTTATATATATAGTTTGTTTGTTTTTGTTTTTTTCAAGATTGGAATTCTCTGTGTAGCCCTGGCTGTCCTGGAACTCACTTTGTAGACTAGGCTGGTCTCGAACTCAGAGCTCCGCCTGCCTCTGCCTCCTGAGTGCTGGTATTAAAGGCGTGTGCTGCCACACCCAACTAATATATAATGTTTTTTAAAGAAGGAGTTTGAACAGAAGTACCCTGCATGGGTGGACAATGCTTCCCCAGAAGACGAGGGTTATTAAATGAAAACCTCAGTGCCAGCGACAGGACACCTCCCTAGGAGTTATTGCTCAGGGAGGCTCCAGATGCCCCCACAACAACACAGACTATTGCCACTGCTCCTGGCTGCCCACCATAACTTTGTGGGTAAGACACTACTGCTGAAAATATCACTCAGTCTGAATGCAGAACATAAAGAAAGTAACCTTGAACTTACTAGGAAACTCTCTCTCGTTGGCTAGCCTACATAATGTCTGACGGTGCTATGCAGGCTGCTGGGAGGAAAAGATAGCAGTGTCTTACCCAGTGCTGAACCCTACACGGTATAACACTGCCCTACTGATAAGACGTGTCCTCTGATGCTACACAGCACTACAGTTACAGGGGTAACCAACCTCTTGATTTTCTAGATATGAAGCCTTCTCCATAGGAAGGATTTCTTGCTTGGTACTGTAAACCTGGTCCAAAGTCTATGACTAGGGAGAACATTGGCCTTATCGTGGAATCTACTGTTGTTATTTTGTTCAATGATCATGCTTTCAAACGCATTTTTTCTCTCTCTCTCTCTCTCTCTCTCTCTCTCTCTCTTTCTCTCTCTCTTTTCCTGAGACAGGGTTTCTCTATGTACCTCTGATTGTCCTGAAACTCACTCTGTAGACCAGGCTGGCCTCAAACTCACAGAGATCCATCTGCCTCTGCCTCCTGAGTGCTGGGATCAAAGGCCTGTGCCACCACGCCTGGATGCATTTTAATTTATGGTTGTACCCGTAGAGCTGTGCTGCTCTGCACCTTAGTCAGAGAAGCTTCTTTTTGCAGCAAATAGTGGTTAATGCAGAGACTCCTAACTGGTCCAAGTGCTGGGTATAAATAACTGAGTTCTCAGCTGCGGATGGGTCATCTATACCGACCCCCACCACGCAAGGCTCAGGAAGAACCATGGAATTGGGAGTGGAAAGACTTTAAGAGTCAGAGGTTAGGGAAGAGAGCTGTGAATGCCAGCTTCTGGGCACAGCTGTTGCACAGATCAACTCACAGAAGCTGTGGCTGTCTGCACAAGAGCAAGCGAGTCAAAATTTCACCGTTGAAGGGCCCCGCCCATCAAAGGCGCTATTGGCAGCTGCTGATAGATGCTGAGGGAGGGAGAGAAAGTCACTCTCCCACTGGTAGTTTGCTCGTGTCCCAGGGGACAACCACACACCGTGTGCATATGGGCATACCAATTGGACTCAAGGAGTTACTGATAACAAAACAAAAAGAGGACAGGAATCTGGAGGGAGGTGAGGTGGAGGCACTAATGTATCCCCACTACCCCCTCTCTCAAAACAGGATTTCACTGTGTAGCTGTGGCTGGCCTGGAACCCACTGTGTAGACCAGGCTAACCTCAAGCTCCCATTGATCTGTCTGCCTTTTCCTCCCAAGCTGAGAATGAAGGTATGTGCTACCACAAGTGGTTAGTGTATGAGCTTTCAAATAATAACAAAATAGTAATTAAAAAAAAAGCAATCGCCAGGTGGTGGTGGTGCACGCCTTTAATCCCAGCACTCAGGAGGCAGAGGCAGGCGGATCTCTGTGAGTTCAAGGCCAGACTGGTCTACAGAACAAGTTCCAGGACAGGCTCCAAAGCTGCACAAAGAAACCCTGTCTCGAAAAAAATCCAAAAGAAAAAAGAAAAATTAGGGAGGGAGGAAGAGGGAGAAGGAGAATATTTGGGGGTCAGGGTGGGGGTGGGGTGGAGCTGGGAAACCTTCACCGTCCTGAGAGAAGTGAGCTCACATCTGAGAACCGGCAGGGTCTCCATTTCCTCACTGGAAACCGTTCTTGCTACAGTCTTTTGGGGACTGATTGCCAACCGCCACCATCACTTCCTCTGCCTCCTGACTGGGGACTAGAGAGGCAAACCAGGCATGGGGCAGGGGTTGCCGGAGTCAAGGTTCCTCACTTCATGGGCCTTTCACCCTGGCACCTTGCCTGCCTGGCTTCCCACTGCTTTGCCCATCCTACCCAGCCACCGTCATTTTCTCCTGGTTGATCTTTTGTTGCTATGCTTCGTTTTGGTTTTTGAGACAAGATCTCGCTGTGTAGATCAGGCTGGCCTGAAACTTACTATGTAGCCCAGGCTGCCCTCTCATTTACGGCAATCTTCTTGCCTCAACCTCCCAAGTACTGGGATCACAGGTGTGTGCTAGGCTCGGAGTCACCTTTGAAGCTTTTCTCCCCCGTGTCTTGCAGGCCCTTCTTCCTATGGCAAGTCTTCAATTTTGGTATTCCCTGAGTGTGGTTGGGATTATTTCTCCTTTGGTTCCAGGACACACAACTAAACTACATTTCCCAGCATCCTTTGGTGCCGAGGCTGACACAGGACTGAATCCTGGTTCATCAGAGTGTGGGTACAAGTGCTATTGGCCTCTTCCAGACCTGGGCTATACAAGCTGTTGGACTTTCTCTTCCTCCCTCCCACCAGCTGGTAGACAGCAGAACAGTCCCTGACCCTCGCAGAATGACAAGAGTACAAAATGGAAGGAGACTGAGTCCCAGATGCTGCAAATGCCTGCAGTAAAATGTTACATAAATAGAAATGTCTCTTACTCTTTCCTTTCTTCCCCTTTGCCTCCTCTCGCCATTTAAAATTTTTAAACATTTATTATCTTTAAAATTAGAAAGATAGGTATGTGGGTGTTTTGCCTGAAAGCATGTCTGTGTACCACCGGCATACACGGTGTCCAAGGAAGCCAGAAGAGGATATCCGACCCCCCCGGGACTGAATTACGGTTATGAACCATCATGTGACTGCTCAGAACCAAACTGGGTCCTCTGGGACTGCAGCCAGCGCTGTTAACCACTGTTCTGTCCCGTCTTCGCCCTTTCAAATTTTTAGTTTTTTGTTTTGTTTATTTTGTTTATATTGTTTATTTATTTTTGAGACAGGGTCTTTCCACGTAGCCCTGGCTATTCGAGAACTCACTCTGTAGACCAGGCTGGCTTCAAGCTCACAGAGATCCACCTGTGTCTCCCTCCAGGCTGCTTGGATTAAAGCTTGCACCATGGTTCCCAGCCTCTAGACCTTAAAAAAAAAAAAAGAAAGAAAGAAAGAAAAGAAAAGAAAAAAATCAGAGTCTTGATGAGTATGTAGTTCAAACTGTTCATGCCTCAGCCTCCTGATTGCTGGGACTATGGGGCAGTCTCCGCTGTAACCAGCACACCCCAAATGTCAACAGTTTAACCCAAGGGAGTTTTTCTGCTGGCCACAGTGCATAACTGTGTTCAGTAAATGATAGTATTTCTCTACTTATACACCACACCACTATTACCTCTGGTCACCAGCTGGTCACCGTAGCTCATGGCTGTAATCCCAGCTACTCTGGAAGGCACTTGAGCCCAGCTTGGGCCACCCAGTAAGACCACTCAAAGCAAAACAACAAAACAACTAGAAACCTATCTCGAACCCTGATGGCCCCCTCAGTGCTAGGCCTCTAACCACCTCCAAAAGCGTGTTTTAGAATTCATTCATGCACTTGTAAGTCTGTGTAGTAACCATGTATTCGGCAGCCCTGGCTGTTGGGCTCCAGCGCC